ACACACACTCACACACACTCACACACTCTCTCACACACACACACATTGCTTGTTCTGGCCTGGTGTGGCCGGGGGAGGAGCGTGCCAAAATGCACACAAAGTATCTCAGCAACAACAGCCAAAACGTAAAAAAAAAGGCGAGGGAGACGAACACAATATTAATTTTGAGATAAACTCGTTCTTCAACTTTAAACTAAAACCATGATTGTGGTTTGAACTGTACCGCAAAAATGCGTCCGTCGCCTGTCGTTTACGGAATCGCGAAGTTCAGCTCCGCCACTGCAAGGTCTCATAGCGCCTGATAGGTAGGCAACATCTTGCCGGTAGCGCGTGCGTGTTCTGCGGGCTGGCCTACCCCGAGTCTCGCAGGCGTCGAGCTGACCTAATTTGCCGAATGGATGGAATGTCTCCAATTAACGGATCTACTTTCTAGACGATCTTAGTTAAGAAGAACAAGTATCGGTGGAGAGCGTAAACTCCAAGTAAACTCCTTTTCGATGTCAGTGTCGCCAAACTCACAAGGCGGAATTTTATAGTAGTTGGCGTATTACCCAAACTAGTGATCGTTGTCGAAAAATAATACAACTTGTGAATCAATCGATGCGCAGCGACCCCGGTGTCACCTCTTCCCCTCTTTGTATATCTCATTCTCCCTCTCCTCCCCTTTCCCCAGCTCCCCTCTCTCTATGATGTATAACCATGGCTGAAATCAGATATGGAAATGAGAGTGGTGATGGCCCGGCTAGTGAGTCTCTGCGCTCTGTCCCCGCCACCCTCCTCACCCCTCTCCAGCCGTAACGTCCCCGACCGCCGCGTCACTTCCCTGCGAGCGCTACGAGCCCGAGCACATACGCGGAGGGCCCCCTATCCTCTGTAACGCCCCCCCCCCCTCACTCACATTCGCATCCTCTCCGCCTCTCTCGCTCCGCTGCCTTTCTCGCCAGCCGAGCCGCGCACTACTTTGTAGCGCCTCATTTCCCCAAACACTCCGCGCACACTTCCGGCCTGAGGGCAAGGAGGGTGAGGAGGAGGGAGGTGGCTGA